ACGTGCGCACACACACAGAGGTGAATCACTAATTACTGAATTGCAGATGCTGTGGTTGCATAAAAATTCAAATAAGTTTACAAGAACCACCTTCAAGCAAAACTTCACTTTTTCTTACAGATAATTCATCATCATGTACATTCTAATATATAAAACATTCATACATACAAGTCATTTCTATAACAGTAATATAAATATACAAAAAAATCAAATATATTTACAAGAACACCACAAAGCAAGCTTTTTCTTACATATAAACTCAAACAGACAATTCATCATCATAACAAACAATACATGTATAAGTAAATTCAAATATATAGTACAAAAGAGAACTTTCGTCAGTTCTAAAAATACCAGCACAGCCCATTAAAGCTACATGCCTCCAGATGAGTCAAAATATCTCAATAAAATCAAATTTGAGAAAAATGTACTAAGGTGTAAGGAAAAGTAAAAAGTTTCAAGATGCAAGAAATATTTTACATATTATGTTCGATTTATGACTGATTTTTCAATATTTACAACTATATTTCTACTGCGTTACTAACACAGTAAAAGCTATTTATGCATATTTTGACCACTTTTTGGTAATATACGTGGTTTGTTAGTGTCATTGATAATGTGTAAATTGCTTCCTTTTGGCTACTTCACAATATTACACATTCAAATACATTTTCAAAATTTTCATGAAAATTAGCATGAATTCGGAGGCGTGCTGCTTTAAAAGATTAGCTCAGGTCAACATAGGTAAACTGCATTACATTTAAAGTTATACAAATTATAACTATTTTATATTTTCTTCGTTTGACACTATAGCACAGTAAGTAAGACCGCTGATTATTAATATGAAAATGAATTATAGTGGGTTCTAAACCTGGTATTTTGTTCAAGTTTTAATTCTTTTTTTAAAAAAGAACTTACTGTCTTACAAAATAATTATACGAGTACACATATAGAGATTTTTCATTTTTGTTTCTCTTAAAATTTGTAAAAATACTCATACATTTATAATAAGAAATGAAAAAAATGAAACAGTGGAATAAATGAGATAACAATATTTTGATTAAAGATCCTGTATGTTGAAAATTTTATATATGTATATAATTATTCTTTTCAAACAATTTCCAAACATCCAAGAATATGTTAAATATATACTGCAAATGTTCAAGCGCATTTCAAGTAATCATAAAATATGTGCATTTCTGATTTAAAAATTTGGCTTAAATGTTATCGAAAATAAAATTCTAATTACCTCCCTTTATTTACATGAAATGAAAATTCGGTAATATCTTTACAAATGATACTTTTTGGAACTTACAATATTGATAAATCTTCATTTGAGCATTGTATTTATGACTTAAAACCAAAAAAGACAATGTGTTACAGGATCTTGAAAAAGAAACATAAATAAATCAATCAAATAAAAAAAAATTATCATTATGTAGTTTCATACATGAAGGAGGAAAATATATAAAAAAAATAAACAAAATAAACAAAAAAGAACAAACCTGTGGAGTTCCTTCTTAATTTACTGCTCTACCAATGGAGCTATTGCCACATTTATTACTTATTCTTACAATTATCAGTTAAACGTACAATCATAATAAGATGAGCAACATTTCATTTACCTATATAGTATTAAGACGGACTGTTCCATACTATAATTAACTATGAAGAAACTCCTGTTTATTGTGCTCGGATTATACATTCATACAAGTCATTTTTAATTCTAATAATTAACAAAAAAAAATATAAAAGAAACCACCATAAAACAGGGGCCACACTTGATTTTTTCTTAATTCTAAAATCACATAGACAATTCATCATCATAATAAACAATATATGTACATCAAATAATAATACATTCATACATACAAGTCATTTTTATCATAACAATATACAAAACAAGAGCTGTCAGAGGAGACAGCGAAGCTTGACTAATTTAATACTGGACGCAATAAGGAAGACGAAACTATAAAAGAAAAATGGGTCAAAGACAGAAAAGGCCGGGTTGCACATGTATACATAATATCATGAGGCTGTGAATTGTTACTTAAACTTACACAACATGTGTGTAATGATAAGAAATATAAATTTGAAGTTTGAAGTAGATACCTTAAAAAGTTAAGAAGCTTCAATATTTCTTAAAGAAATTTCTAAGTTCAAAGGGGGATAAGTCTAAAAATATTGCTTCAATAGTTATTAACCTTGTCACATAAGATCTTGTTGATGATAAGGAATATGTTTTTGAAGTTTGAGGTAGATAACTATCAAACTAAAGTAGTTATAGTAAAAAATAACATTTTTCAATTAAAAAAAAACAATCTATAAGTTAGTGGGGAAATAATTCTTGCAATACTTGTACTAGAGTTATGAACCTTATCACATAAGATGTGGTTAATGATAAGGAACATATGTTTGAAGTATGAAGTTGATCCCTTAAGAAATAAAGAAGTAACAGTAAAAAATAATATTTTTTAAGGAAAATTCTAAGTTCAAAGGGCAATAGTTCTGAAAACATTGGTGCTAGAGTTATGAAACTTGTCACATAAGATGTGGTTGATGATTAGGAACATATATATGAAGTATGAAAATGATCCCTTAAGTAATAAATAAGTTACAGTAAAAAATGTTATTTTTCGAAAGGAAAATTCTAAATTCAAGGGGAGATAAATCTGAAAATATTGGTGCTACATTTTTGAATCTTGTCACATAAGATTTGTTTGAAGATAAGGAACATATATTTGAAGTTTGAAGTTGATACCGGGTGTCCATATACTTCGTATAGTCGAGCTAAAAATCAAATATGTTTACAAGAACTACAGCAAAGAAAGAGCAACACTTGACCTTTTCTTACTTCTAAACTCAAACACAATACTAAGAATATTAGAGTCAAGAATACTCCTTCCTGTACAAGATATAATTAAATATTCATATGTGACCTTAAGAGTCAAAGGTCATTTACAGATGAAAGCCATACTGAAACTATTTAACATGATGGTGTTGTCATGATGAATGTTGTTTTGTCCAAGTATGAATAAAATAGTTTTACATTGAAAATGAGAAAATATTTTGTAAATATTTATCTAGCTAAATTATTTTAATTGATTTGCCCTGCTTTGAATTCGGAACAGTCCATTTTTCAAAATTTCAAAAATTCAAAATACAAAAAATAATAACAACAGTATCTCAGTACAACCAAACTACGTCCACTTTACCACATATCCGGTTTTAGGTTTTTAATTAAGAAACATATATCTAATTTTAATGCATAAACTATAAAAGATATTCAAACCTATAATAACTGAAATAGTATATAATTCCTACCTGCACTTATAATGTTTACATTTCAAAACAAGATTGCATTTGAGAAAAATGCTATGCCACCGCATTAATACAACACTAAATAGTAGTGTAGGAACAGATTTTTTTTTGTTTCTTTACAATTTTGAAGATTGTCATAAAGCATAGATCCCTGACCTATCTTATTCTTATTATCAGATAAGTGGTTAAATCTAATGTTATCTCAATAAAAGATCAGAGTAGGAATATATCAATGCACTCGAGTCTAGTGAATTTGGTGGTGAAGATCATATTTCACACAGCCTAAATTTCATGACTAAATCAAAAGGACAACACAGTAAGACACTTTGTCAAAATCTAGGTCAGCTGAAATCAAAGTTCACTCAAATTTCATAGCTGTACATCAAAGGACAAGAAAGTAGGTCACATCAACAAAATCTAGGTCACCTGATATCAAAGTTCAATTTTACAACTAAAACTGTGCACATGGTCAAAATTTCATTGCTGTACATCAAAGGACAAGAAAGTAGGTCACTGTCCCCTTGGGCAAGGCAAAATTTTGGACCCAAGGGTTTAATTCAAAACAATCTTGATACAGGTCCACTAAACAACATTTCAAGTCAAATATCTAAGCTGTAGCTTTCTCCCATTCAGAAAACATTTGTTTTATTTTCTGTTTTTACTATGTGTACATAATGAGAATCACTGCCCCCGGGCAGGGCCAATTTTTTATTTTTTGACACCAGGGGAAAAATTTGAACAACTTTAGTAGAGGACCTATAGATGATATTATATAGCAAACATCAAAAATCTATCCCTTGTTCCTTCAGACAAAATTTTTTTTATTTTTTTTACTATGTGTACATAGTGAAAATCAATGACCCCTGGGGGTGGGGCCAATTTTGACCCCAGGGCTATAATTTGTACGACCTTGCTAGAGGTTCACTACATAATGTTTCATGTAAAATATCTTAACTCTAGTCTTTGTAAATTTAAAGAAGATGATTTTTTAAGTTTTTTCTTTATACATATAAGGAAAACCTATGGCTAATTTTGACACTAGAGGCAAAATTTGAACAACTTTGGTAGAGTTCCTATAGATGATATCATTTAACAAATATTAAAGCTCTAAGCCTTGTACCTTCAGACAATAAGATTTTTTACTATATATATATTTAAAATCAATGACACCTGGGGCGGGGCAATTTTGACACCAGGGCTATAATTCAACAACAATCTTGCTAGAAGTTCACTTCACAATGTTTCATGCAAAATATCTAACCTCTAGCATTTGTCAATTGCTAGAAGAAATTTTTTAAAAGTTTTTACTATAAGTTTTTACTATATACATATAAGGAAAACCAATGACCCCCCGGGCGGGGCCGATTTTGACCCCAGAGCTATAATTTGAATAATCTTGGTAAGGGTCTACCAGACAATGCCTTATGCAAAATATCTAACCTCTAGGCCTTTTGGGTCTTTACAAGAAGGTATTTTAAGTTTTTACTATATGTACATATAGTGAAAATCAATGACACTCGGGACGGGGCCGATTTTGACCCCAGGGCTATAATTTGAACAATCTTGGTAAGGGTCTACCAGACAATGCCTTATGCAAAATATCTAAGCTCTAGTCCTTTTGGGTCTTTACAAGAAGGTATTTTAAGTTTTTACAATATGTACATAATAGTGAAAATCAATGACCCCCGGGGCAGGGGCAATTTTGACCCTAGGGCTATAATTTGAACAATCTTGGTAGAGGTCTACCAGACAATGCCTTATGCAAAATATCTTAAGCTCTAGGCCTTTTGGGTCTTTACAAGAAGGTATTTTAAGTTTTTACTATATGTACATATAGTGAAAATCAATGACCCCCGGGGCCGGGCCAATTTTGACCCCAGGGCTATAATTTGAACAATCTTGGTAGAGGTCTACCAGACAATGCCTTATGCAAAATATCTAAGCTCTAGGCCTTTTGGGTCTTTACAAGAAGATTTTTTAAATTTATTCTTTTAATTCCTTTTGGTTGCCATGGCAACCAGATTTCTGCATGGAATGAAATTCTTTGAACAACTTTGGAACCCCTTCACCCAAGGATCAATCCTGCCAAGTTTGGTTGAAATTGGACTAGTGGTTTTTCACAAGAAGATTTTTTAAGTTCACTATATAATCTATATAACACACACACACACACAAACAAACAAACACACACGCACGCACGCACGCACGCACGCGCACACACACGCACACACACACACACACACACAGGTGAAACGCTATATGCCACCGCATCGCAGATGCTGCGGTGGCATAAAAAATGGAAGCTCCCTCACATGTGTTACTCAGACTTTATCCAACAGAAGTTCGACCACTTCAACCTTGACCTTTTACTGGGTGTAATAGTATGCTTCAGGAAAAAAGTTTATGCCCCTATTAACTGTCATTTTATAAACTTTATAAAAACTGTTTTGAATTATTAATTAGCTGTCAACAAAACATATTTACATGGTTATAGTTAGTTTACAGTTACATTTCACAACAGGAGGGACACAAAAAGTTGTCTCCCCGCCTGATGGCCTTGACAGGTGTACAAAATGACAGGTGAACCCAACCTGAACATTTATCACACTGTCCCCAATTAACAATTATCACATTTGGCCGTTTACTCATGTCTGGGCTGAATTTTTTGCATACAATGCACTTCTCATTTTCTCTAACATTTTCTTCATCTGAGCTGTCAAAACTATTTTCAATAGGAGGATTAACTTTTCTTTTTTTGTTAACTGAAACTCCAGATGTTCCAGGTTTGGGTGATTTCTGATTCGAATTTTTTACTTTGTTTTTGGTAATTTGTTTGCTTTTTTGCTTTGGGTCACATTTCTCATTATGGTCAATGATTTGTTCAACAATGTTATCTTCAGTTATTGGTTTTCCACCAACAATTTTACTAAGTGTATTTCTCTTTGGTTTGGCCTTCTGCACATTTTCAAGCATTTTTCCTCCTCGTTTCTCCAGGAAATGCTCAGCATCAGACATAACACTAGACCTAACATTGCCACTTTCATCAGGCCCTGTTTTGGTAGTATTAGAACCATTGGAATCAGAGATGCTTCCCTCTTGTGAAGTTTGACCACTCCCTCCGAATGAATATTTAATTACTTGACCAACAGCTGGACGAACCTTGCCCGACCATAATTGTTCTTCCGTAGGAGAAAGAACTCTTTCTTTACTATTTTTAGCATTTTGCGCCAAGGAGACGACATTGTTTTGGGATGCGAAGGTATTATCTCCAGTCTCAGATCCAGTGTTATTTTTGTATGGTTGATTCAGTTTTAACCAACTTTTAGCATCCTCAACATCTCTGAATACAGGAACCTTTTCTCCTAAAGGTTTTAAAATACCATTATTTTTCACCCATATAATACCATGCGTACTTGTGGCTGCTACCAAGTCTGACAATTGAATGGAGATAGTAGGACACAGCACTTTACCTCTCGCCTCCAAATAACTCTTGATATGACCTGTGATATCACTGCTACTGTGCCTTTTATCTGGAGAAACAGAAAACAGCAAATATTAACTATGTAAATATATTGTATGTGTCATCTTTAAGACTTAAGCTGTGAATTGAAAGTGTGTAAATTACTTTCTTTTTGTTATTTCACAAAATTATACTTTTCAATACATTTTCAAAACTTTCATGGAAATAAGCATGAATCTGAAGGTGTGCTGATTTAAAACAAACTTGTTTTTTGAATTATACAAATATGACCTTTATTTTTAATTTGACATGGGCTGTGAAGGTCAAATTATTGAAAGCTTACATTTTCCAGACTTTGTTATTCATTTATGGTCTTGTTTCATTATGGGCCAAAAGACCACTAAAAATATGACAAAACTTACATGATGATGAATTCAAATGTGACCTTGACATTTAAATGAACTTGACCTTAACCATCAAGGTCAAATATGAAATTCGAGTTATAATTTTTAATGATAATTATATTGAATACTACCGGTAGTTAAAAATGTAAAAAAAAACACAACAAATAGAACAAACCTAGGTCTTCCATCTCCAATAAAATATTTACAATGTCTGATATATCACTTTCAGTGAATGATGGCTTTGGTATATTTGTTGAACATATATTTGCATCTGGTATGGAACCAGGATCATCAGTGCTCTCTGTGACCTGTCAAGGCAAGAAAGATACATATGAATCATATGAATTATAAATATACAATTTCAATATTTTAGTGATTTAAAACAATTCCAACTTTAGCACGTCCTGATGAAAAACCAGATAGGTTCAAAACCGGTAGATCATTATTAAAATTTTGTTCACATTTATCCGGTGTTGACATGTGGTTTCTTTGAATTCTTCCTTTTCATCCAATTCCAAGTTTGTGAAACCTAACATTTGAGAATTCAATACAGTAATATGCACACATATCAGCTTGGACAATTGTTCACATATTTAAATAAAATTCTAGCTAAGTTAATTATTTGACATTGACAGTCAAGGTCAGTCATTAAATAGTCGGAGGTCAATTCATTTTTTAAGTGTTCATTTTTTCTAAAACTAAATCAAATTTGTAAATCAATAACAAAGCTATGACAATTATGAAAAAAAAAATACATTGTACAATATCTAAATAATTATTTGATGGTCTATTAAAGGTCAATGTGCTTTTTTATTTTTATTTACTAATTTAACCTTTACTGTTAAGTTAAAATAAAGGCAAGTTCAATTAATCTTCATAAATGTCTTGTTTCAAGATTGTTGTGCCTATGTTTGAAGACCATCCATTCAGCAATTACAAAGTTATAGCCAAATAATACAAATAAACAGTGAAATTTTAATAATTTGACTTTCAAGGTCAATTTCATTTATGAATCAAGGTCAAAGTTCATTTTATCTTCTTTAAGCCATTGTCCTAATGGAAGAAGTAAAAGAACAAGAACAAGAGCAACCGCCAGGCTTTTTTTCTTTTTAATTAAGGGAAACAAATAAAAGCTTTAAACAAATCTTTAAAAAAAAATTATAGAAAAAAAATTTGGTTTTTCCTTTCTTAATTTTAATAGGTCTGTATAGTCACACTTATTGTTTTGTCCAAGTATGAATCCTTTCCATAATTTGATAAATAAATTACAAAGTTAAGAAAATTTAATCATTTGACAGTCAAGGTCATTTACAGGTAAAGGTCATATCTAAATAATTCTACATTTCTGTTTGCTCACAAGTGTTGTTTTGTTAACATATTAAACATATTAATCAAATCCTTACATTAATAAAAAAAATTATAACAACTTAACCAAAATTCAATTCTTTGATCTTGACGGTCAAGGTTTGAAAAGCTGAAGGTTAAGGTCAGTTCAACCTATTAGAATGTCATGTATGAAAATAATCCATTGATTAATTACAAAGTTATAGCCAATTATAGCAACAATCCGTGAAAATAAAATAATTTTACCTTCAAGGTCATTGTCATACATGAGTCAAGGTCAATTTGTGTTTGATATACATGAAATTCCTGACCTAAAACATGTGTCTTAATATGAATTTCATTCCTTTATAAATAACAAAGTTATAGCCAGTAACAAAAAAAACAACAGGAGAATTTCATGCATTTGACCTTGACAGCCAAGGTCACATCTAAATTATTCTATACATGTTTGTTTGGTAGCAAGTCTTGCTTTGTCCAAGTTCAAATACATTCATAGATAACAAAATCATGACAATGTAACCAAAATTCAATAATTTGACCTTGACCACTGTTAAAAATTGCAAAAAGGAGTGGCAATGAGATTGGACACAATGACCGAAGAGTGTAGCAATAGCTTTGGAAGGACAAGCAAAAAAAACCCCACAAATACAACCATTAGTAACGAAAGTTAGAGCCAAAAATGATCAATTTCTTTAAAATGTAAGAAAATTAACCATGAAGATTTTGGTCATTTATTAGTCAAGGTCATATTCCTTAACATATGAGCTAGTAGATATCATATAATAAATATTTCTGCGAAGTTTTTTTTAAAATTGGTGCAGTGCGAACAGGTTGGCTGACAAGCAGACTGGCATAGAGATTAAAATCATCAACATAATAAAGACGCTTCCAACTTTAGTTGTGCTGAGAGTATAAAAATTAACACCTCACTATAAGAGGCCACATAAAAAAATTTAAAACAAAGTAACTCTCGTTACTTACTGCAGCTACCGATGAATACAATTGGAATGGTGATTATTTCTGATCTTTTGAGCAATAAACAAGAAGGGGTTTGTCACAAAAACATATGTCTCCCAAAACTATGTATGGTTACTATTGTGAAGTTTCATTGAAATCCCACCGGTAGTTTGACACATGAAGGCCGGACAAGATTTTTTCTATTTTAAGCTCTAATTTCTAATGGCTATTTTGTGCAGCAAAGTGGATCGTGCTGGTGATGTGCACAACAAGGGATGGTACTGATCATTCCTGTAATAAAGTTGGTTGAAATCCCACCAATAGTTTGACCTGTGAAGGCCGGATAAGATTTCCTATTTTAAGCTCTGGAGGCCATTTTGTACAGCAAAGCATGCTGGTATTGTGCACAACTAGGGATGATACTGATCACTCCTGTAAAATTTGGTTAAAATCCCACCAGTAGTTTCACCTGTGAAGGCCGAACAAGAGTCATTTTATTTTACCTCTTGCAGCCATTCTGTGCAACTAAGTGAAACCTGCCTGTGGTGTGCACAACTAGGGATGGTACTGGTCACTCCTGTAAAGGTTGGTTGAAATCCCACAGAAGTTTGACCTGTGAAAACTGGACAAGATTTTCCTAATTTAATCTCTGGCGGCCATTTTGTGCAGCGAAGCGGAATGTGTGTGCCAGTGATGTTCACAACTAAGGATGGTACTGATCACTCCTGTAAAGTTTGGTTGAAATCCAACCAGTAGTTGACCTGTGATTTTTTAGGCCGGACAAGCTTAATGCGGACTGACAGACAGCAAAGGCAAAAACAATGTCTCCCAAAAATTTAAGTATAGTTTAGTGCTTTAGGTATGCATTAAAAAAATATGTTCAAAAACGACTTAGTCATTAGACTATCTAAAAAATCGTCTTTGTCAGAAACAGCTGTCCTTCAACAGCATATTAAAGTAGGAAATGGAATATGTATGGTTATGAACAACAGCATGTTTGGTGAATACAAATGCCACCATCCCAGATTTAAGTTTAAACATACACTCTGAGTTATGGACAGAAAAATTGCTAAAAAAAAGTATACACAGTTATATAATTTGACAGCTTTGTGATGATTTGTAAATTGTAATTGTGAAAAATATTAGTTGTTATGTCATTGCTTTGTGATAAATTTGAAAAAATATTCAACTTTACCAATATAAATTATCAAATACATACAAATAAAAGACCTTGACCTTGAACCCAGTGACCCCAAACCCATCTGAGATATGTTCTTCTAATTAAGACACATCAAACAAAATACAAGTATTTTCAACATTTTCTGTTAACCCATTACGCGATATACACACCTTTTAACGCCTTTTTTTACCCCCCTCCCCCCTTTTTGTTGTCTGAAATGTTGAAACAAGAGCGATCAGTGGTCACATGTGTCGCCTCATGATGGCCAATTTCACGTTGGGACAAGTTTTGTGACAAACGGACAGACAGACGGACAGTGCACAACTAGACTTGGTACTGATAATTCCTGTAAAGTTTGGATAAAATTGCACCAGTAGTTTATGAGGAGTAGTCCAGACAAGCTTTTGTGTATCTGGCAACACACAGAAAAAAAAACCTTTTTATCAAAGGGCCATAACTCGGCCAAAAATCATTCAACGGGAAAACCCGTGCAATATGCACAAGGACTTGAGCTACAGATCAATCCTGTAAAGTTTCATTGAAATTGCATTAGTGGTATAAGAGAAGTTAGTCCGGACAAACTTTAAAAATAAAAATTATTAAAGGGCCATAACTCTGACAAAAATCATTGAACCGGAAAATGCTGACAATATGCACAACTAGACTTGGTACTGATCATTCCTATAAAGTTTTGATGAAATTGCACCAGTAGTTTATGAGGAGTAGTCCGGACAAGTTTTGTGATGGATGTACAGATGGACGGACATACGACGGAGAAGTGATCCCTATATGTCGCCACTACTCCGTAGAGGCGACACAATAATGCCTTATTTAAATCCCCAACACTTGTTTCTGTTTGAGAAATGTTGTATAAAAAGTGACCAAAAGATACATCAGGGTGTTGCCAGAAGGGGGATGTGCCCCCTTCTGTTTGGGGGGTTTGAAGGGGGGCGGCAGTCCCCCTCATCGCCAAGATAATTTTGGACTTGTGACAGGCTAAAACTGACCCCAGATCGATCATAAGGTAATGTAACCAACGTTGAAAAGCATTTGACTCTATCTCAATCCATTGTGAAGTTGCAGCACTTTGAATTCAATTTTAATGGAAAAAATCAACGCAAAATAGTGATATTTGGCAATTTTGAGATGTCCCCTCGTTGCCATGGGAACAGAAAATTAAAGCCTGAGCATGTTGTTGCAATGGCAATGGTCCAGTCAACATTTGTGCCAAGTTTGATTAGTATTGAAGCAGTTTTTATAGTTTTATAGCAATTTGAACTTGTAACGGGAGACTTTTCAATGAAAACAGCCATTTTTCACAAAATGCTCATGAAGTAATGGGCTAATATATAAACTCTAGCTGTTTGGGTTTTTTAATAGAAGATTTTTTAAGATTTTACAATACATGTATATAAATATGGAAAATCAATGACCCCCCTGGGGCAGGGCCAATTTTGACCCCAGGGAATTTATTTGAATAAACTTGGTAGATTATGTTTCATACCAAATATCTAAGCTCTATCTCTTTTGGTTTTCTATATTTTTAGAAGATATTTTAAGTTTTTTCTTTCGGTTACCATGGCAACCAGAGTTCTGCTTGGAATAAAATTATTTGAACAATTTTTAAAGTTGACTACCAAAGGAACATTCCTGTGAAGTTAAGATGAAATTGGCTCAGCGGTTGATGAGATGTCGTTTACGGATGCTGGACAGACGGACACACATTGACAGACAAAAAGAGATCACAAAAGCTCACCATGTCACTTTGTTGCAGGTGAGCTAATAATTATTTTCAGGGTAACCGGCCAACCTAAAAAATGTATTCCGGTTTTGATAGAGGTTGTTTTTTCAAATACATGTATAAATTTAACATTTTTGCACCATAACAAGAACGTTAATGAAGTATCATAATTGTATAGGTAATAATTATGACTTGGCCAGGTAATACCTGCACATTTACAATGCATTTTAATTTTGACAGTGAATGAGTATTTCAAAACCTTTGATATATTTTGAGAATTAACATAATAATTTAACCAGGCGAGTAATTTGTGAAAATTAGATACTCACAAAAAAATGCCATGACAAAAATGCCATGATTATTGTTCTGATTTTAAAGAACTCACCATTAAGCAGGAATTTCCAGTCTCTTGCTGACTCAATTCTGTCTCCATTCTGGAAGAAATAACAGATCAAATTTTCATCTATTTTTTACTATTAATGATCTGTTCATATCTTAACTTTCAGACCTAGAGTCCCATAAATCTCCTGAACCTAATGACAAATTTATTGGGCCATCCTAATTCATTTATTTAAATTAAGAAAAAACTGGAGATCCACTTTTTCTTACCTTTATGGTTACACAATGAAGAAAGATAATTGCTTGCTGCAAAGAATACTCCTAGAAAACTTCACATTTGACCTTGATGGTCAGTCATTCAAAGGTCAATGTCACATGTTGGTTTGTCATATGTGTTCTTGTGACCAGTTAAAATCAAATCCATAAATAAATAACAAATTTATGACAATTTAAATACATTTCAATAATTAAGCTGTTACGGTCAAGGGCAATTTAAGGTCAAGGTCATATCAGAATAGTTCAATATGTCAGTTTGTCATAAGGCTTCTCTAGTCCAAGTATAAATCAAATCCATAAATAAACAAGAGGCCCATGGGCCTTAAAAGGTCACCTGAGAATTCTACAGCAGATTATATATGTTTTCCTTTTTGCGTAAATAACTTTCATACATAGATTAAAAACATCAAACATCACATAAATATTTTTTTTCAATACATTGTCTTTACTAGTATATAATGTTGTGTGTAATATTATATTATGCAACTTATATCCTCTCCCCGGGGCCTAAACCTTAAAAACAAAGGGGTCATGCATTCCACAGTGTTAAGGACTCCCTACTTGTTATGTATAGGATAGATCATGAGTACCAGTTGGATGTGAGATTTATCAACGAGCGAAGCAAGTTGATAAATCTCACATCCAACTGGTACGAGCGATCTATCTGACTTAGACCACAGGTAGTTTTCTCTGTTTAAGGTGAAGATTAAACATGCATTAACGGTTTTTTTCTCCGACAGTTACATAGGGATATCCAAATATTTCTTATTCAATCTATATTGCCTTATTGTAGGCAAAAAATGCACGAGAAAATTGCATAATTCATGTTCTTTCATAAGTTACTTAATACACAATCTATTGAATGATAGATAGATTTCACATTCTATCGCAAAGGTGCAGTCAGAAGAAAATTGGGAAGAATTCAACATTTCTGAATGTGATAACATTATAATTTCGAAACTTGGGAGATTTTTGTTGTTATTCCTGTTGATTCCTCATTTAAATGATTTAATGACATACCGGTAACACCGTACACAGCGCTTGGAAGCAAGACTGCTTACCGAAATATACTCTTAGACAGAAATCATGGGCGATGGCTACTTATCAAGAGTGGGCTCTTTGGAGAAACGGGCAGGTAACTTTCATTAAACATTTTCCTTAAAGCTTAAACAACACTAGGGGTCAGGATATTTATTGGTTGTTCGGCTGAAGTTGAAAATATTTTACTTGATATATAGATTCGTTTATTTATTGTATGCTTTATATACATCCTGCATTGACATTTTTACTTCATTCATGACCTGAAAAAATATTACAAACGTCCCTCTTATAAGTACTATAATCGCATCCTGAATTATGCCCGGCTCACGCTTAATAGCAGACACTGTAGATGTACATTCATTTACTCGTTTGGGAATAGGGATTCCACTGGTGGGCAAGGGGGTGGAGTTTCCGAACGGTGACTGGGCTACGGTTGCAACGCTAAGGAAATTCTATGCTTTAAGGCTTAAAAAACAAACAGATAGCAATAGTCCTAAAACTAGAGTTATCACTAAAACTGATTAATACCCCCTCCAGCAACCTTGACTTTTTTTAATTTAAGTGGTCTGAAGCAAAATTTGAACTATAAATCATGAAGTTTTAACTGTGTAAAATAATTCTTCACTAATGTTAAAAACCTTTTTTCTGTTTTTAGTAACACTGACCCTTGATCCATGCGGTATAAAATCAAACAACACAGAGGGTCTTCATATAGGCTTGCTTATTACCAAGTTTAATTACAATATCTCATGCCTAACCGTAGTTTTAGTTCGGGAAACTATTTTTCTATTTTAAGTAACAGTGATATACACCAACAGGGTTCCAAAAGCAAGAAAAAGAATCACGGATCTTCATATAAGCTTACTCTTTACAGAGTTTAATTACAATAACTTAACCTAACTCTAGTTATTGTCTGAAAACCGTCTTTCTATTAAAGTAATGGTGACCTTGACCTTATTCAATAGGGAAAAATGCAGGTCGTGTTAGAATTCTTAATTAAAACGGGAGATAATTAAAAATGTAAGTAATGTAGAGTAATGGTTCTTTGACATTGCACTTCGTCTCAGTTGTTTCTAAAACTTTGTAAAGTTTCAATGAAATATCATTCATAGTTTAGAAGTTATACTCCAGATGTTATTTAACATTTTAATGTATCATAAAGGGACATAATCCAAAACTCTAAAAAGGTAGAATTATGGTTCTTAGATGTAGCAATTCCATACACTGGTACCTATCACTGAGTGACATTTTAATCAAATTCCTTCAATACTAAGTTTTGTCCTACTTGATACTTAATGATTTCTATAGGCTTTTGAACTGAACAAATGTATTAAAATTGCAGATATTTGGTTTGGGTTTTTTCTTATTTGTTACAAATTGTTAGCATATGAATTTCCATGAATTGATAGTTATGAAAAACCACAATACAAACAAGAACGTGTTTGTTAAACACAAATGCCCCCCGGCTCAGATTCTTGTCAGTAGAAATATTTCAAAAAATGTTTACCCATTCACTCAGTTATGGACAGAAAAATTGCCAAAAAATTGTAAACACAAGTTATATAGCTTGACAAAGTCATGGCCTTTTGTAGCCTTTTGAAAAAGATCCAACTTCATGCAAGTTATCTTCCTACCAAATATGAAATGCATCTGTCATTAAATAAAGGCTGTATGGGCAAAAGTGTAAAAATCTATTTTGAGCACTGGTGACCTTGACCAAACTGACCCCTGACTCTATTCAAAAGAAGAATACCATGTAAGTTATCTTCCTACCAAATATAAAATACATCTGTCAATAAATAAAGGCTGGATGGGCAAAAGTGTAAAAATCTATTTTTAGCACTGGTGACCTTGACCCAACTGACCCCGTACTCCATCCAAAGGAAGAATACCATGCAAGTTATCTTTCTACCAAATATGAAATACATCTGTCAATAAATAAAAGCTGTATTGGCAAAAGTGTAAAAATCTATTTTTAGCACAAGTGACCTTGACCCACTGATCCCTACCCCAATCAAAAGGATGAATACCATGCAAGTTGTCTTCCTACCAAATATAAAATATATCTGTCACTTAATAAAGGCTGTATGAGCAAATGTGTAAAAATCTATTTTTAGCACTGGTGACCTTGACCCAACTGACCACTAACTTACTAATAACTAATTTAATATAAATCCAACTTAAATAAATCCAAATAGGTTAACCAGACAAGGCCCTATTTTCAAAGTGAAAAAAGGGAAATAACTGGGAAATATGGATGACACAGTTATATAACTAAAAAAAATGGCAATATCATGTACTTTGTATTGATAAGTAAGTGTGGAAATTATAAAGCCATTAGTATAGATAGAACTTAAGATATTTCCAACTTGCCGTTTTAGGTTAACCATTTTTCATTTTCTAAGTGCTGAAAAGGGCAATTACTTGGTAAACATGAAAGCCAGAGTTATGTAACTTGCCCAGATCATGTACTTTGTATTGATTAGTAAGTGTGTAAACTAAGAAGCCATTGGTACAGGTAGATCTTAAGAAAAATCCAACTTGCCGTTCTAGGTTAACCTCGTACGGACAGACAGACAGACAGATATTCTTACATTTGTATTCCTGTTGGGTGACTTTACTGTGTAAAAAAGTACCCAACAATCAATGAAAATACCCAACAATACAGAGTGAGTAGGATTGGTAGTTGTTGGGTATTTAGTACCATTTAGTACCCAACAAATACCCTCTCGTGCGCTCTGACAGACAAACGGACGGACGGTTCAATTACTTTATGCCCGGGGGCATAAAAAATCTGCATTATGGTACATGTACTGATTTATTCAGCATATATAATTTTGTCCCTGACTGGTCATTGCTTGTAGAAAATGTAGACGTTTTAAGACTGGTTTCATTTAAAAACCAAGTAGCTGGTGAAAACCTCCTTATCATGTTGTTTTGGCAATGCTGTTTTTTGCTCATTTCTGACTGGTACTCATTTACCCGCCAATTTTAATTCATTGACACAGCTTTTTTGCATGAACATGTACAGTGCAATCTCCCCACCCTGACATCCCAAAAGCTATCATCATTGTCATATGTGTGCAAACTGGCAAGTAATTTCCTGTTCAGTATCCATTTTATAATTCTAGGACCTCAAGACCCACAGCTTAAAGCAGCAGGCCTCCAGATTCATAATTTTCAGGAGAAATAAATTAAAATGAATCAAAAAATAAATTACTGTCAAGTGAACAAAGGAAGTATTTAACACATAAAATTGAAGAAAAATTATCAAACCAGAAATGTGTCATCATGCCAACCACGGATGCCCGCCTGCAGCCAAATTTCAGATGTTATAATATTTAGTTCCAAATTTGTTTGCACAAATTATTTTTTTCATTTTAAGTTCAAAGCCCTTAAAACTTTTCAATGTTAACACAAACCATTTTATACAATATTGAAGGCACTGAAATTATTCAGTCTTAACCTTTTGTAAATTGCATTATTTGAGGCCAAAATAATGGCTACATACATTTCCATAAATGTATGAGTGCTGAAACTGAAAATTCAAAATGTTTCCAACATTCAGGAAAGATAAGTTTGTCCAAAATCATTGAACCACGACCAAATTCAAACTTAAACTGCTTATTCCTAAGATGTATCTATATGTTAAATTTGAGTTGAATGTGTACATCAATGGGGAGATAACATAACATAACATAACATAACATACGTTTTATTGTAGTTAGAGGCCTCCGGCCCACGATACACATAATATTGTACATTTTTTTTTATAATA